ATGCCATCACTTCCAAAAGAATTCCATTTTAGCATTTCCTCCTCTGTTTCTCTCCTTCCTCCCTCCCTCCCTCCCTCTCTCTCTCTCTCTCTCTCTCTCTCTCTCTCCCCCCCCCTCCTCTCTGTAATTGCATGCCCTGCATGATAATTTCTTTCTCTCATGACATGGCTTAGCCTCACAGAGAGCTGAATGTTGTCCCCACTTATTTGGCAGCCTTAGGGAGTCATCCAGTTTCCAGCGTCCGGTTTTGACGCTTTCTCTTTTTTCTCTCCGATTTTTTAGCTGTGACGATGGAAAAAGCAAGTCCGATGGGTGAAGGAAACTTCCGGAACCGCTCGACTCCAGCCTGCACGAATTCTACTGTTGGGGTGGTTAAGATGACCCCTCTTTCTTTCATCCCTGGAGCTAAAATCACCAAATATCTTGGGATAATTAACATGTTTTTTATCCGGGAAACGACGTCTCTTCGTGAGGTAATTTTGTTCTGTCGTCTCCGTGACTTTTCTCTGAAGATAGTAGTCAGAGAAACTTACTATCAATTGGCTTGTTTTTGCAGACACTATACACACACACACACACACGCACACACACACACACGTGCGCGCGCACTAGCTTTTTATTTTTTTAAATGGTCGTTCAGAATTGTTTCTAGGTTACACTGACCAAATTCACACATGGCAGCTGGTTTTCTCCATGGAGATTTGTTGAATTGAAGCTCATTTGTCGTCGGCAATTTTGTCAATTAGTAATTTTGTCAATTAGTAAAGAGAACGCATTCAGTCCTGGAGATCTCGGGTGCCCTTGGAAGGGTAGCTTGGCTTGGTCCTGTTGCGTTTTCCGCAGTTGCTGTATGCCCGAGACATGCAAAAGTAGAGAATTGTAAGGGTCCCCCGCCCTGTTCAGGGCTGGGAGGGACGATCAGCGTCTGTGGGTGGTTCATCCGCTTCAGCCCCACGTCTGCCTCTGAGGAACACGGAGTCCCTCGTTTTCTTCCTCTCAGTCTCTTCCTGGGTTTCCCAGTGACTTGCGGAGTGACAGTGCTCGGACTGTTCTCGATGCAGCCAGCGTCAGTCCGTACTCGGCCTGTTGCATCTTGCAGCCCACCAGCACATGCAGAGTCCCGCAGACAGTTGTGCCCTGTGGGTGGCGCAGGGCTGCAGTGCTGGTCAGGGCCGCAGGTAGGGACAATTTGGAGTTCCTGAGACGGAGCTGGGGGAGAGGGCGGCGGGGGGGGGGGGGGGGGGGACTCTCCCTCCTGGAGCAGAGTGCGCCCATTCCGCCGGGAACTTGGGTGCTCCCTAGCTTCTGGCCAGACGCGCTTCTGGCGTCTCCTTAGTCTCCAGCCGCTGGGGTCCTGGCGGTTTGGATGAGTCCAGGCAGACTCAGGACTTCCTTTAGCTTTGTTGCCAAACCTCATGCGAAGGCCAGGAGGGCGCGAAAGAATCGAGCTCGAGGTGTTATCAAGAGCCTTTAGGTAAGGGTCAGGTGCCGGCCAGAAAGTCCATCGAGGTGACAGAGAAAGTCGAGGATGAGGGGCCGGCAGTGGCGGCCAGATGGACAGGACAGTGGGGAGCGTGTTTGTCTTCCACCGGGATTCGGTCCCCGGCACCCCATATGGTCCCTTGAACACTCACGGGAGTGACCCCTGAGTGCAGAGCCAGGAGTAAGCCCTGAGCACTGCCAGGCTTGGCTTAAAAACAAACAAAACACGCAAACACACCAAAAAGAAAAGCCCGTGCTTGGCCTGCCGTGCCTGTTGGAGCCCGAGTGTGGGGCGGGGAGCGCCCCTCGCTGGGGTCTAGGGACTGAGATGGTAAAGCCCAGGAGGATGGAACGGAGATGAACTCGGGGTGTGCCAGGGAAATGAGCCTGAGGCCAGGCGGGCGAGGTGGGCTGGCAGGAGGTGGGGAGGAGCCTCCGGCCAGGCCCCTGCTAGGACGGTGAGGCGGGACAGGCTGCTGGGGGCTGAGCCAGCAGGGGATTTGTTTGGGGGCTCACCCGGCAGTCCTCGGATCACTCCTGGCAGGGCTCGGGGAGCCATGAGTGGTGCCAGGGATTCTCAGCAAGATTGACCCCCCGCCTCCAACCGCCCCGGACTCTCGGTCTCCAGCTTGCAGGGACGGTTTGTAATCACTGTTGCCGGATTTGGGGTCTGATTGCTATTTATTTTTTTTCCCCTCCCAAGCAGTGCTGGAGGCCCCGGGACTGCCTGGCATTGATCATTGCCCTGTGTGCAACCAGCCTACATACCAGCCCCCTTTAAAAAAAAATTAGGGGGGAAGGGGGCTGGAGTGATAGCACAGCGGGGAGGGCGTTTGCCTTGCCCACGGCCGACCCGGGTTCGATTCCCAGCATCCCATATGGTCCCTCGAGCACGGCCAGGAATGATTCCCGAGTGCAGAGCCTGGAGGAACCCCTGTGTGACCCGCCCAAGAAAAATTTTTTTTTTAATTTTGGGGGGGGGGGGCTGAGGGGGAATGCCCAGCACTGCTCAGAGCTTCCTCCAGGCCCTTTGCTCACGGGGGTCAGTACGGGGTACAGGGGATTGAGTCAGGGCCAGCCGCGTGCCAGGCAATCGCCCTGCCCGCTGTACCGCCGCTCTGCTGGGGTGTGTGTGCTCCATCCCCCAAATCAGCTCCCGCCCCGCAGGGGGCCTTCCCCCGACCCTGAGTTTGAGTGCACGGTCTGTCCCCTTGGGGACTGGGGGTGGCCGCTTGGTGTCTCCAAGCATCACTTCATCCCAAGCACCTGGGATAGACAGAGTCTAGCCGCCCCCCGACAGACCCCATTCCCCGGAGGAGGAAAGCGAGCCCCCCTTGTGCTGGGGGCCTTCAGGGTGTTCTCCCGTGTGCTGACAGCTGTCTCCTTGCCCGCCCTGACACCCTAGGAAGGAGGCGTCAGCGGCTTCCTCCACGCCTTCATCGCTGAGGTCTTCGCCATGGTACGCGCACACGTGGCCGCCCTGGGGGGCAACGCCGTGGTCTCGTACATCATGAAGCAGTGCGTCTTCATGGAGAACCCCAACAAGAACCAGGTGAGGCGGACACTGGCTCCGGGCCCTCCCCCCGTTACTTCCACAGGCAGGTTATGAGGTTCTGAGCTTTGGGGTTCCGGATGCATCAAAGATGGTCTGATGGCCCTGTCACTGACCACGGCCATCCCCCTGGCTCAGATGCCACGGCCTCGGCCCCAGATGGGCCGAAACTCTAGAACTTCCTTCTCCTTTTCTGTTTTCACTGTCCTCGGCTGGGTCTTTGCCATCCAGCTGCCCACAGGACAGGGCTGTGACCGTGGTCCAGCTCCGGCCCCCACGTGGCTGGCTGTGCGTGGGCCACGCTGTCTCCTTCAGATGAGTGATGTGATTCTGTGGACAAGGGTAAAAAGAGCGTTAGCTCACATTAACTTCTAGAATGTTTTTTTTTTTTTAATCTGTTCCATCACTTTAAATCTTGTTAGATTCTTCTTCACATGTTAAATACCTTCATGTAACTACACTGGCGTGCTTTTTAAGTCCTCTCCTCTGAATCACCTTCCGCTCCTTTGCCTGCTTTTCTTTGGGGGCTCACATACCAGCGCTGAGGTGTCCTCGTGCGCGAGAAGAACACGGCCTTCGCCGCCGAGATGGTGACCGAGCGTGTCCCCTTGCTCCCCTAGGCCCAGTGTCTTATAAACGTCAGCGGGGATGCCGTGATTTTTGTTCGGGAGTCGGAATTAGAAGTGGTGCCACCCCAGCAGCCTGCCGCCAACTGCCAGCCGTCCTGTGCGGGAGGAGAAGTTCGGGCCTGACGCAGCCGAGAGAGAAGGCAAGCCCAGCTCGGCGGCCCCAGCTGTCTCCGTTGTGATCTTAATAGACTATTTGAAAACTGGACTGAATCTGAGCTGATTAGGAAACGATCGATCCATTCTGAGTAGATTTGACTTGCCTGGAATCCGTCGGAGGCAGGAGAAGTCGGAGGCAGGAGAAGTCGGAGGCGTGAGAATTTTCAGGCTGTGACATTTCCGAGTCTCGGCTACAGGCCCTGGGAATCTTGACCCTTCAGTTAAGGTGCATTTCTCTGAGACCCGCAGCTAAGGCTGAGTCACTGTTTGTGATTTATGTTCGAATCTTAACACAAATCATCATCATTTTTTTTTAATGAAACGGAAAGAGTATCAGGCAACTCGGATGGTTACCCCAGTGTAATCTGGGGACACGAAAGCCAGGAAGTCACAAGCTGGTCATGAAGAAGGGCCTGAGGGGCGTGTGGGGAACTGGGGAGAAGCCTCAGAGAACTGGGAGGTTCTTCACAGATTTTGGTTTCCATAACCACGGGAAGGAAGAAAACAATCTTGCCATCTTTTCAAGAGAAGTTGAAAGTCTGCAGCTTGCATCCATAGTATGTCCTGACTACTGTAGAAGTTATTTATCAGAGCTGCTATCTTCATTGAAGCCTTTAAGAATGTCTCGGAGGAGGTGGGGAAAAATTACCACGTAAGTTCATAAACTGATTGAAGTTCATTTAGTGTTTAATTTGTCTAGGAGGATCTTGGCTTTAACTAGGATGAAAAGGATGGTGAATTTTGTTAGTCAAAATATATATACAAATATATATATATATACACAACTGATCTAGTTGGAACAAAAAGTTATTTTCTGATGAAGTTATTCTGTACTCCTACCAAATAAACAGAGTTGTAGTAATGTCTTATGATAGAGACTTAGACTGTATTTGGCATAGAATCTGGAGACGTAACTTGAATGTAAATACTCTGCAAAATGTTGAATGTATACATAGAAATATTTTTTTTTGTCAATGCCAAATGCCTATTATACGTTACTTTAAAAGTACATTCCTCCTTTGCACAATAAAATTTCTTTATAAAGCTCATTATTTTACTCTTTTCCAGGATTACAGCTACCCTAAAACTTAAGAGTCATTTCCTTGTTATCACAGGTGTCAATATTTTTCGGTATTTTGTTTATAATTTTATTTTTTAAATAAAAAGTCGATAAAGATAAACTGTAGTAGTCCGAAATCTATTTTTTCCCCAGTCTCCTGATGCGTGACTGAGAGTTGCGGGATGCTATTTTTCATGTGATCCTCTTCGTCCCTTCATTCAGCATCCAAATGCATTCTGTAAAGGCCTGATCTAGATTTGGTGCCATGACTTTGGTCGATGGGTTTTTTCCAGTCAATCCTCAACGTATTTGGGTCTCAGGGCACAATTTTGAGGTAGGAGACAAGTACACAGAAATTTCTGCTCTTGGGCGCTTATTTTCAGGGATGGCAGGTAGGCAGTCAGCCATTTCTAGGATTCATTCATTCATCATCCTGTTATTCGTCGATTGCCTCGAGCAGGCCCCAGTAACGTCTCTTTCATCCTAGCCCTGAGATTATATTCAAGGCTCTTTAGGAGAATGAGACCCATCATTGTTACTGGTATTTGGCATATTGGGTACGCCACGGGGAGTTTGCCAGACTCTGCCCTGTGGGCAGGCTACATTCGATAGCCTGCAGGTTTGTCCAAAGTAGGAATGAGATAATTAGATGTCATAAAAAGATGTCCTGATAAGATGTCGCGCGGCCGCAAATGCGGCCACGCGGTTCCGGGAGCTGGATTTTATAGTCTCTGAGTCTTGGCCGCTGATGGAATGTTCTAGGATGAATGTTTTTTATGGCCCAAGAATTCTCCTCTTTCTCTTTTTTTTAAAATTTTTATTGTTTAAATTAATGTAGGAGTACTGCTATTTATTCAGCCATTGATTAAGCTGTTTGAAGTGGGCCTGAACTCCACATTACTTTTTTTTTTTAATTGAATCACCGTGAGATACACTTCCAAAGCGTTCATGTTTGAGATTCAGCCATACAATGATCAAACACCCATCCCTCCACCAGTACACATTTTCCACCACCAGTGTCCCCAGTATTAGCACCCCCCCTTCCCAGAGACAATTTCCCAATACTCTCTCTCTACTTTTGGGCATTTTGTTTGGTTCTAATTTTCCTACCACCATTCAAGCCAGCCTGCCAGGGCAGATGCTAGATCATTTATTGTCCATGGCTCATTTTGCATATCTTGGGTGCCACATGCTTCTGAAACCCTAAATTGTAGATGGTTGGGTTCTAGAGACATTTCTGTAGGGCACTGATCCATTTTGGGATTCAACTGGGCGTCTCTGAAGCAGGGCTGTTGGTGCGCTAAGATGGTGCCCGGGGGCACATTGTGGGGGTGACAGCCAGTCCAACGAGCGGGCAGGGAGCTGGAAAGGTCAGCTCTGCACCTCTGCCAACCCATGCGGCCTGGAGATTTAATCCCAGAACCTGCATACCTGGGCCAAAAGGTCTCCTCTTTGTGGTTTTTTGCATTTACTCTTTGAAGCTCAGTGGACACTCATGAGATGTAGGTCACTGCTGGGCCCAGGCTGGCATCGTGGTGGGCGCTCAGCAGGGTCCCTGTGACTCACCCAGTGTTTCGAGTTTCACTTAGAAATTGTGGGGGCTGAGCGAAGGATGATGGAGGCTCCCAAAGCCACAGCCCCCGTTGGGAGGTGGGTGACTGCAGGTAACATGCGCTGAGCATAGTTCTCTGTACACACCATCAAAACCCCCGGACAGTGAAACAAAATGCTCCTTAGTTTTCTGTAAAGATTCTAGAAGCTCATCACCTGTCTCCTTCCAAGTGAAGGAGTAGGGAAGAGAGCAGAGCGGTGGATGTGACTTGGACCCGCTCTGGACACTGGGTCAAGAAAGGTCGTAGCTGACGGCCAGGAAGAGTGGGCTCTCTGTTTGTAAATATAAGGTACTGATTTTTGCCGACAACTTAAATAAGCAAGGAAATGAACTCTTTGGACCTCCAGGAAGAAAAAGAGTCAAATATAGATTCTCAGCCCCTTGTAGAACACGGGCTGGCTGAACTTACACAATAAACCTCGTGGGGCTGAACACATTGACACCAGTGGTTTGTGCCCCGGGGGCTCACACTTGGACAGTTTAGCCAACGCACAGAGCTGTGCCAGGGTCAGATAGGTCCGTGGCATCAGCTGTCTCACACCTGCGGGTCATAAGCCAGGGTGAAAACCAGCTGGCCTTCAAGACCAGACGTTTCTGCTGACCAGCCCCGTCTGTGGACCCTGGGTCTAAGCCACCCAGTCTTTGGTCATTTGTTTTGATGAACCTGAGAAAGCAAATATAATATCTTATGAAAGCGAAACTGCAGTGACTGTAGGTAGCTGATCTATTTCTGGTCACCTATGAAAGGCACGATTTCTGGGTACAAGTGCAGCCTTCTCTCACTTTTCCATGTTTTGTTTTGTTTTTTTTTTTTGCATAAGCACATGACTAACTGAAATCCAGAATCTCAGCCTGTGAGATCATCTCTACCTCTCGAATTGTTCAAGAACCCGGCAGTCTCCTTCTGGGAGATGCTTTTTTTTTTTTAGGGTCCTTCCTTCCTTCCTTCCTTCCTTCCTTCCTTCCTTCCTTCCTTCCTTCCTTCCTTCCTCCCCTCCCACCGCGAGATACAGTTACAAGCTTTCATATTTGAGTTTCAGCCATACAAGGATCAAGCATCCATCCCTCCACCAGTGAACATTCTCCACCACCAAGGTCGCCAGTATTTCCCCCCAATCCACCCCTCCCCCTGCCTTCATGGCAGACACTCTCCCCCATACTCTCTCTCTCCTTTTGGGCATTATGGTTTGCAATACAGATACCGAGAGGCCATCACGTTTGGTCTTTTATCTACTTTCAGCACACATCTCCCATCCCGAGCGATCCCTCCAGCTATCATTGACTCAGTGATCCCTTCTCCATCCCATCTGCCTTCTCCCCCAGCTCATGAGGCAGGCTGCCAACTATGGAGGAATCTTCCTGGCCCTTGTGTCTACTGTCCTTGGGTGTCAGTCTCATGTTATTTTATATTCCACAAATGAGTGCAGTCCTCCTCTGTCTGTCCCTCTCGGACTCATTTTGCTTAGCTCTGTGGAGATTTTCATCCCCCCCAATGGCTAGGCTGACGCTACTGCATTTCCTTCTTGCTACCACGCGGCGTCGCTGTTGAGCAGACGTTGCTGGCGTTGACAGCTCGGGTGGTGCCCAGCTGACCACAGGTTCCCAGGGATTTCTGGCATCGACTCGTCCTTCTGTGGAGCTGACTTCCCCCAAGGAAAGGTACACTTTCTTTTTTTTTTTTAATTTAAAAAAAAATTTTATTAGTGAAACATCATGAGGTACATTTGTAGACTTACAAATTTTTTTTTGTGTGTGTGTTGATCCCTTTATTTTCTTTTTTTTTTTACTGTGGATGTTAAATTTTTTTTAAATTTTTTTTTGTTTCGTTCTTTTCTTTTTTTTTTTTTACAGTTGTAGATTTACAATTTTTTGTGCTTGGGTTTCGATTATACAATGATCAGATACCCATCCCTCCACCAGTGCCCATTTTCCACCACCATGGATAATATCCCCCCACCCCCATCCCCCCATCCCCCCCCTGCATCTGTGGCAGGGCAATCCCCTGTGTTCTCTCTCTCCTTTTGGGTGTTGTGGTCTGCAAAAGAGGCATTGAGTGGCAAACATGTTCAGTCCATAGTCTACTTTCGACATGCATCTCCCCTCCTGGGAGGATCCTCCAAACACCCTTTATTTGGTGCTCCCTTCTCTATCTGAACTGCCCTTTCCTCTAGGATACCCGGCTGGCCTCTAAGTTATGGAGTAATCCTCCTGGTGCTGATCTCAGCTATTCTTGGGTATTAATCTCATACTTTGTTACTTTATATCCCCCAGATGAATGCAATCTTTCTATGTCTATCCCTCTCTTTCTGACTCATTTCGCTTAGTATGATACTTTCCATATTGTACCACTTGTATGTAAATTTCATGACTTCATCTTTTCTAACAGCTACATAGTACTCCATTGTGTAGATGTACCAAAGTTTCTTTAACCAGTCATCTGTTCTTGGGCATTCAGGTTTCTTCCAGTTTTTGGCTATTGTCAAGAGTGCTGCAATGAACAAACAAGTGCAGATGTCACTTCGACTATACATTTTTGCCTCTCTGGGATATATTCCCAGGAGTGGTATTGCTGGGTCAAATGGGAGCTCAATTTCTAATTTTTTGAGAATCGTCCATACTGTAGAAAAGTACACTTTCAATCCCTACTGCTTAACCCAGCCGAACAGTGTTTCTTAGAAATGCCCAAAGTTTTGCTAGCTCCCAGTCCTGGGTTCGGCGGTCACAGCGGATGGTACTCACATACACACATAGTGCCAGGAATAGAACCAGGCCCGGCCATATGCAGGGCCAGCCCCGTATTCCCCAGCCCTCTCTCTTGGGTCTTCAGTATCAGTTTTTGAAAAATAAGATGTGTTAGAAAGATTGCGTTCATCTGGGAATATTCATTTTCATTTCATCATCCTGTTATTCGTCGATTGCCTCGAGCAGGCCCCAGTAACGTCTCTTTCATCCTAGCCCTGAGACTATATTCAAGGCTCTTTAGGAGAATGAGACCCATCATTGTTACTGGTATTTGGCATATTGGGTACGCCACGGGGAGTTTGCCAGACTCTGCCCTGTGGGCAGGCTACATTCGGTAGCCTGCCAGTTTGTCCAAAGTAGGAATGAGATAATAAGATGTCATAAAAAGATGTCCTGATAAGATGTCGCGGCCGCGCAGTTCCGGGAGCTGGATTTTATAGTCTCTGAGTCATGGCCGTTGATGGGATTACACGGCGCCAGGGGGCCAGGTGGTGGGTGTGACCCCCGCCTACTGGAATTTGGAGGATCTGGGTGGAGGATGCTCAACTCCAATGCGAGTAGGCTTGGAGATCTCGGCCCCAGAACCCACGTGGCTTTGTCCCTCTGCCGGTACCTTCAGGTGTGCGGAGAGTGGTCTCAGCATGGTGGTGGCTGGTCCTGGAGGTCTTCGGCTGCCGGGGCCCTGGTCGGGGCGGGGAGGAAAGCTCAACCCGCTCCCCTCCAAGGGGCCCCGGCGAGGAACAGCCAGGCGCGGGGGCAGAGACTGC